TTTTTTGATGTGTTACAGCAATTCTAAATTATAATTAAATCACATTCTAATGGTATTAATTTTTTATACAGTTTTTTCCCCTCTGAACTACCCCTGTGATCAAAAAGTACCGGGAATGCTTCAATAAAACAAAAGATTTGAATTTATTTATCAAAATTTACTTAATCCCCTTCAAAGTTGACAATCCTCGAAACATGCTTTAAAGTCATTTTTGTGAAAACCTTTCAGGACTTGCAGCAAATTTTGTTTTACAGCATCAATTATCTCAAAATGATGACCAGGAAGCAAAAATTTTAGTTGAGGAAACAGAAAAAAGCCACATGGTGCAATATCAAATGAATGCAGAGCTTGTGGAACTGTATTTGTTGAATTTTGACCAAAAATTCATGAACAACAAGAGAATTCTAAGTTGTTGCATTATTGTGGTGCAAAATCCGCAAGTTTTCTTGCCATAAATCAGGTTGTTTTCTATGAATTGCTTCATGCAAATAAGGGAAAATGCTCAAATAATATTCTTTGTTGACAGTTTGGCCAATTGGAAGGAATCTGTGATGCCCAACGCTATGACAATTGGATAAAATAGTCAACAAAATGATTTTGATTTTTGACTGATTGATATGCTCTATTTGGTCTTACTTTATCTTTTGAATGCCATTCACTTACTTGTTGAGCTGTCAAAAGCATAGATCCATGTTTCATTATTGCCTGTAATGATGCATTTTAAGAACAATTCACGTTGAGAAAGCATTTTTTCAGCTACTTGAATATGTTGATTTTGGAAAAAACTCAACAATTTTGGGACAACTTGAAGCAAAGTGCTGCAAGCTGAAATGATCTTTTAAAATTGCTTGACAAGATCCAAATGATACTGCAACATGTTCAATAATGTCCCTAATTGTTAAATGATCATCACTGAGTACTGAATCTCTGACTGAAGTGACGTGTTGTTCATCAAAGTGGATGGTCTACCACATCGTGGTTAACTTCAATGCATTCTCTGCCTTCCTTGAACATTATGTGCCACTCAAAACTCTTGCTTTTGATAGACTAATGTCTCCAAAGGCTTTTTGCAACATTTCCAATGTTTTGTAGCAGTAATTTTGTTGTGAAAACAAAATTTAAAGCACGCTCTGCTGAATTACACTTGACATTTTGAAAAATTGCTGGAGAAAAAATTTTTTACACACAAAACAAACATTTATTTGCAAATGAAAACAGATGATGACATACAAATTTATGCTGGATATTGATGAAAGTGTACCAAATGATGACAGTGCCTTCTTGCATGCATGCAGTTTAAATGAACCATTCCTGATACTTGATCACATTAGTACATACATGTTTGTGTATTGCAAAAATCTATACTTCTGTTCAAAGAACCTAGAATGTAGGTTGACTGAAGACTTTAAGTTGTTAGTATACTATAATATTCTTATATATTTGATAGTAATATTTTAAGAATATAAATTGTATTGAATATAAATTTATGCTATTATATATGAAGGTTGCTTAAAGTTTCTTTAGTTAAATTACATAGGTGATAACATTTTATCTGTCAAGCAAGCTACAGCTGTTTTCTGTTTCTGGACAGATGTCATTTAGTTTATTGCATGTGTGTAACAAATACAGTAGAACCTCCATTATCCGGACCTCCATTATCCGGATTTTCGATTATCCGGATTGTCCAAAATAAACAAAAATTTTACGAATTTGCGGATTTGCACTTGGCGAATTACGACACTGTCTATGTACGTGATGGAATGCATAACTTTTTTTGTTTCAACAACGTCTTACCCGGAACAGTGGCCGTAAACTCTTAAATATATTTTACGTAGTAATAAAAATATAACTTGACATACGTATTTATAAATAATTTATTTTCAAATTACATCATTTCTATGGCCAAGGGCGGCGTAAGGCATGGGCAACGTGGGCCACCGTCTATGCCTCGCGGTCCGAAGGGCCTCGCGTTTCGAAGGTTTACGCATTACTTAAAAGCCACGAACGCGACGAAAAAATTTTACTCGTCATAAAACGATAAATAGTTTGTCAAATTTTTATTCATAAGAATGCAGTTTCAACTGCTTTTTATTTTATAAAATCCGTCTTCTTGCGCCACCAGAGGGCCTTTTAAACAATAGGTGGTCTGTTAGCGTTGGTCAGTAGTAGTCCAAATTCAATACAAACGTTTGTTTCTTGAAAATTTGATCACGGTTTAAATACAGTATTTACTTTTAATATTACCGATATGTCATCGAAAAGAAAACGTGTTGTATTATCATTAAAAGACAAATTAAAGTATTTGTTTCGATTATCCGGATTTTTCCTTATCCGGACTACCTTCATCCCCAATTAGTCCGGATAATCGAGGTTCTACTGTATATTGCTCTAGAAATACACTTCGGGACTACGTCATGTCCCTGATATATTGCTCTAGAAAGTTAATGCAATAAATAATTTAATATAGAGAATTATATTGAAAGAAAAATAAAATCCAGACAGTTTTCTGTCGTGAAATTTTTAAAATTAAACTTATCAGTTATAGTGATCATCTGTTTAGATTAAGAACGTTAGATTTAGAAAAGAAAATGTGACTTAAAACATTAACATAATGAAATTTCTTTTAATAAAGGCACAAACTAAAGTATTTTCACCTAATTAAATAGACTTTACGAGTTAAGATAAAGAGATAACAAGAACAATTTATAAAGAAACAGTATTTAAATTTTGAAATTTCTACTTTCTCAAAGGCTTCAACAACAAATTGATTTTATGCTATTAATAATTCAGAGATCTCTCTCTGATACTCACTCATTGATGAAGATGGACTTCTATACTCCATCTTTGCCTGGCTGTGTGGATTGTGTTTCTAAATATACCAGCCAGGAAAGATATTGAAAAGTTGTTGTATGGTTATACCACTTTAACCACATGCAAAATAGGATAAAGAATGATCAGACTTGGGAATGATTTGATGATTAGAACTTGGTTGCTAAAACCTGGGAAGAAGCAGCAACTAAAGATTCTTCTGAACTGTTATTCTTTAAATAATAATAAATTACAAATATAACGAGCAATTATTTATTGTGACATTGCTGCAATATCAGGCTGCAATTTTTAATTAATTTAATTTAAATAATATGCTTTTCACCTCAAATTAGTAGTGTCTTGCCCCTGTACATAATATTTTTCCTGTTAGCAAGCTCCTGTACANATAAATTACAAATATAACGAGCAATTATTTATTGTGACATTGCTGCAATATCAGGCTGCAATTTTTAATTAATTTAATTTAAATAATATGCTTTTCACCTCAAATTAGTAGTGTCTTGCCCCTGTACATAATATTTTTCCTGTTAGCAAGCTCCTGTACACCATACTTTTCTTGTTAGCAATAGATTATGCCTGCCATGTATCTAACTCCTTTTAGGGAAAAATGTTTGAATTGAAATAATATGACTATCAGTATAGGCTAGTATGCTATTCACGCCAAGTAACTAATTAGTAGTTAAAACTCACTGTGTTTAGCGTTATTACTCGTTCGAGCGCTTTCGACGAATATATATTTCCATCGTCTTCAGGCGAATAAAATGTTTTAATCGAACATGAACGTTCGATAGAAGAACACATAAATTTACAATATTATGTGTTCTGCACTTTAAAAGAAACCATAGTTGGGCATGTAGAAACCATAGAAGAACACATAATATTGTAAATTTATGTGTTCTTCTATCAAACGTTCATGTTCGATTAAAACATTTTATTCGCCTGAAGACGACGGAAATATATATTCGTCGAAAGCGCTCGAACGAGTAATAACGCTAAACACAGTGAGTTTTAACTACTAATTAGTTACTTGGCGTGAATAGCATACTAGCCTATATTAAGAAATGGAAACTGCGAAAAACCTATGCTGAAACTAAAGAAACAGTGGCAGAAACTACATGCCCAACTATGGTTTCTTTTAAAGTGCAGAACACATAATATTGTAAATTTATGTGTTCTTCTATCAAACGTTCATGTTCGATTAAAACATTTTATTCGCCTGAAGATGACGGAAATATATATTCGTCGAAAGCGCTCGAATGACTATCAGTTTGCATCAGAAATTTGTATATAGTTAATTGAGGCCCTCCTGCTCCTAAGCTTTCCATATCTGGTCTCGGCTTTCATCTATCTAACTTCATTCTTGAGATTAAGGAAGGACAGACTGACGGATGACAGTGGGAATTTATAGGTGTACAGTTTTTTCAAATTGCAGTCCAATAATTTTTTTTACTTCAAAGATAGTGTTTAAAATTTTGATACAGTAAGAAAGGACTATAATTTATCATCTATTGTAGAAATATATTTCAATATGCTTGAAAATGCAAATTAATTTGTGTTTCACTCGCTACTCTCATATTTTCTTATTTGCTTAGTGTAAATGGCTGAATTCAAATCTATTATTTCACTTTGTATATTGCTGTCTATTATTTTTCTACGTCTACTGCCAGTGTATTTGAACAAATTTTAGTAGTTGAAATAAGGAAAAGGTGTCTATTAATATAAATAATACAACCAAATCATAAAAGATTTTAAACTCGTCAACTGCTTATATCTTTTGTATGACAGCTGTTAAAGTAATAAATTACAAAGTTTTACTTTAATATAACTTTAAGCTCATTATGGTGGTCCAGTTCGAGCTTAAGGTAGCTAACTGTTAAGATTACAAAGCTTAATGTAAGATTAACTGCTCAAAAGTCCTCTCTCCGAAATTTATGATAGTTGTTAATTTTGGATTTCCGATAACTTGATTATATTTTACTTTTTTAGTGAATTATCTCCTACTTGATTGATATTTATACCTAGAACTATAATGGACTAAGGTCAAGACAGTTACTGAGAGAGAAACTTTATTATTATTATTATTTTATATTTTAATTAAATTGTGAATTTAATATGTGAATGTTTAATTATTCTGAATTTTAGATATATATGTTAAATATGAATTTTTGTAGATGGCGAATTATCTGATAATATTACAGTTGAAGAATTAATAAATAATCCAACAACTTTATGTGGGACTCTCTTACATCTTGCCACAAAAGTAAGCATAATTGAGAATTATATTTCTGTAGATTTTACATTTAAGCATTCATCGTATTGCTGTTCTGAAGTCGAGATAAAAATTCTAAACAATCTAAAATTTTATTATCTACAAATTCCATCGGAAATATATCTCATTCAATTAGGATAACTTACAAATTGAATTGCTTAATATTCATTAATATAAGTGGATAAAATAAAAACATCTATTGTATGGACTTTCTGTACAGATATACAGTAATACAAATTTTTAGAAATGGCAAGTACATAAACATCTGATATTGGAAGATTAATTTAGAGAATTGAGTTTATGATATAAATGGCAGACATGTCCTTGATAATTTTGTGTCATATATAGCGCTCGTTCTTCTTCGTAGCATTTGTCTCACCCCAGAATAAGATCTGCTATGTATCATATGGTATTAGTGTAGATGTGAGTGGAGAGAGAGCTATAATGTTCCAGATTCCAACTCATGCTTTTCTTCTGGACTTGCCATATGGAATGACAACTAGCCATGAAATGAAGTCAAATTTTACTATTTCTCATGTAATGAATTACAAATTTCTATCATATGTGTTCTGATTATGTATGTTTCGATAGGATACATATGCAAAACAGAAGATTGTGGAACTCAAAACAGTTTTACAAGTTTCTAGATTTATAATGATTTTTATTACTTAAATATCTGTCCTAAATATCTGTGTTAAGGATCTGCTGATTAAAAAAGCAAGAATCAAAATGAAGAATGTTATAGAGTATATTAGTTTTATATGGGAAGCAACCTATTGATGATTATGGTTAATTATTTAATTGAGTACTGTTAAAAGCAAATTTGTAAGGTTAGGTATTTAAAAATTATTATAATTATAAAACAGTAGATTTTAATAATACAAGATTTAAATTGCGTTTAATTTCAGTTAGATCATATAGATATTGTGAGAACTTTATTATCTGCTGGAGCTAATCCTGGAATCCAGAATAATATGGGTGAAACGCCTATAGATCTAATTGCTACAGAAAGAATGACAAATGTTTATTCAGAGGAATTGCTTAAAGCTACTGCTCAATCAGAGTAAGTATATTATTATTTCATAATATTTTCTATTTTCTCTCTGTATTGCTATTAATTAATAAATCACGCAATATTTTTTCGGTAATAAAACAAATTTATTATTATAATATTTCATTTAATGTGGATTTTTCATATTAATCACATACAGTGTGTGTTTTTATTCTTCTCTTACTTCAATGAAACTTAGTGTTTAAATTATAAATAAATTAGTGTTTATATTTCATGCTTAAACAGTCTAAAGATATGGCTAAATGATGTCACTATCTAGACTACCAAATAACATTAAAAAATATACAAATATGAATATCTTTAAGCCTGATAACTATGTTGAAGCCAAATAATCAGGCTATATCACTGCTACTATTGTTAATTAAGTGGTAAGTAATTACAGTAGATCCCCCTATAAGACGGGTTTCTATAATTACGATTCCTATAAGAAGGTGAAAAAATTGTGGCGGTATCCGTAAACAACGGTAAAAAAACTCTTATAATTACGTAAAACGTCATCGGGCAGCCGAACTACTTTCCGCCGTCCAGCGCCACACTACAGACAGTTTAGGCAGGTAAATTGAGTTTAGTATCGTCTGTACATATAATTATATATAAATTATATATAAATTAGGTACTGTATATATAATTATATATTAACTTAATTTATTGTAACTTTATTATAATTATATATATATACTTTCCGCTGTCTAGCGCTACGGAGAGTTATGCGAGCTATTGTCTGTACAGTATGTAAATTAGGTACCATAAGTCTAATATAGCACTGTAATTTTATACATTTCTTGTGAAAGAAACATTTCTTATTCAACAGCGATTAAAATTATTTATATTAATGATGTCTCCAAAGTTCAACAAAGTTTTCGCCGAAAAATAACATCAGAAATCGCGGTTGCGGTTTGCTGCGCTGTTCCACGACGAAAACAAGCTTGAGAAACGGCGATGTTGAATGGTGCACACTTGGTAAGTAATCCTACAATTTTTTGTTTATAGCGTAGTTTATACGGATTATTTCCAAAAAAAATATATGTATTTTGGAAATGTTGAGTCGGATTAGTCTAGAATTGATTAATTTTATGGAAGAAAACCTTTCAAACAGCCGTAATCCGTAAACTTCACACGTGTTGGGCTGTGATTCCTATAAAATTGATTCATAAAGAATGGAACGTATCTATCATCTTATAGGGGATCTACTGTACTTAGCATTTAATTAATTAAATAAAATGTGAAACTATGTGAAAATTTTTTCCATGCACCAGGACTTTATAGAACATATATTTGAGAAATTCCAGAAATGCATACTACGTTTCATTTTATAAACATTATTTTGGATGGCTGAGGTGGCTAGGGTATCAGCCTACAGTTCTGGGAGCTGGAATTCAATTAAGATGAGAACTCCAGGGATTTTTATGGATGGTCTATCCCAGATATGTTTGGCTCTGTCCCTTACTACTAAGTGCCCTCATTGCTTGGCAAACCTATGATGGATATTTGATAAAAATTGCCAGGACAAATAAAATTTTAAATTTACAAAATTTAAGAAAATTTTTAAAGAAGACAATATATAAAAATCTCTTCTCACTTTGTCTTTTTGCACACACACAATCAAATTGACAGTTTCATGGTGGAGTTGACCTTTCATTGAGACCATCTGGTAACAAAAAAAGACAAAGTGAGAAGACATTTTTATGTATTGTCTCCTTTAAGAATTTTTTAAAATTTTGTAAATTTATGATGGATATGATTAAAAAGGCTCTATTAGTGCCTACATGGTGGAAAGAGACAAAAGTGAAAGGAAAAAAATGTATTTTTTTACATATATCATTTTTAAAATATGAGGTATATCAATTTTAAAGTACACAAATTTATATTTAAAATATTTAAATTAACTGTATTTTTTTAAAGCTATAATTTAATACTAATATACTATCACTGCATATCGGGTTGTATATAATACAATAAATCTGACTTACGGAACCTCTGCTATAATTTAAATATGACTTTGGGAAATAATAATAGATGGGTTTGATGTAGCCACTTTTTTAAATTACTCAAGTTTGAATAGTAGTTATTATTTGTATTTGTTAATATTTGCCTAAAAATTTACGGAAATCATAAAATAATTATTTTTCAGATGTTCTTCCCAAATTATTAAATAACTATAGCAGGGCTGGCCAAATCTTCTCATGACAGGAGCCATATATCATTATTAGAAATATGATAGTCACATGCTCTATTGAATCTGCATTTTTATATACTATATATATATTTGGTTCATACAAATGTACAGTACTCTTTCTTAGCTTACAGTTACGTATTCAAGTTAATTTACGAGTTATACTTACAATCCATATGCTTATTGCACTCAATAATAATTAGCAAACTTACAAAAAGTACTATGTATGCATACGTATCAAGTTTATAAAAAAAAATTGTATAAATATACAGGAACTACAGTAAGAGTCTAGAAAGGCCATATGTGGCTCTCAAGCTGCAATTCGGAACTATAGGATTGTGAATATTAGAGAATATTTCAGTATTAGGTTCATAAATATAGAAGCTTATCATTTTAACAGATTCCTTGGGCCGCCGAAAATGATCTGTTGTTCCGAGAATCCATTTTATCGTGAACAACGGATTTTCCACACACCCACGAAAATATCTGTTGTTCGAAAAAATTTCCATTTTTTAACCCCTATATATAACAAATACCAGTACTTGAAGTTATTCAGTCTCTTGAGATCTCTATTCTTTATCCTATAGTATGTGTATATTATGCCGTATTTGTGTACAACAAAGCTGACGAAAATTGTACATACTGTAAGCATAAAGAGAGTCAAATTACATATGCTCATTAGCACTTTGCTTGACTTCATGATTTGCTTAAAAGACTCATCCATCTTGATTTCTTTTGATACCACTTTTCCGTCTGTTGAATACAACATTGCTTGATACTAGCAATGTCATGTACAGTATAGCCTGTTCATTTATGCTGAAACTTGTCAGGAAAGTCTTCATGGCTTGGAAATACTTGATGACCTTGCTAATTTTCACCACTACACTTGGACCAGACAGAATGTTTGTTAGGTGCCTCCTTCTCAATTGTATCAGCTGGCTGATTATCTTTATACAATTCTTCAATTGTACATATCCTAAATGTAACAAGTGCATCATCAAACTACAAATTTCCAGAAACACTCAAATATTAACTAAATGTTGATAAATTTGGGGTAGAAAAATCCATTATTATGAGAAATCCATTGTTCTGTAATCAGTTAAAATGAGATTCTACTGTAATTGATTCTGATTTGAATTAGAAATCTAAAGATTTTTGTTAAGTTATATCTTCACTAAAATTTATACTTATAATCTGTGGATTTCTTTGATATATAATATTTGTATTAAACATTATTTTTATTAACAATAAGTCTTTAACCCCCTTTCTTTAAGATATATATTACAGATATACAGGGTGTCCATAAAGTTTCTTTACAACTTAAAAAATTTATTGCAAAGGCGGCAATTGATAGGATATCTTAATCAGACTTGTTCTGTTGTACTGAGTGGTTTTCAAAGTTTTTCTACTTCATTTAACACACCACTATATGGGCACCATTAGTTGCATGAAGCATATCAAGACTGTACTCAACTTCTTGCCATATTTGCTGTAGCATAGCCTCATCAATGGTTGCTATTGTATCTGTTATCTTTTGCTTTAGTACAGTAATGTCCTGTATCTTTGTTCAATACATGATATCTTTAACATAGCCCCAAAGAAAAAAATCCAGAGGTGTGATATCCTTGGTGGCCATGGAATTGGTCCATCCCTTCCAATCCAACAGTCTGGAAATGTTTGATTAAGAAAGTCACAAACATGCAGTCCCCAATGTGGTGGGGCACCATCCTGCTGGAACATGATGGTTGGTTGAAGGTCCTGCAGTTGTGGGGCCACATAATTGATCTCTTGTGGGAGAAAAATGGACCAAAAATTTGATTGCACATAATGTAATGTGATTAAAAACATCGAAAACCACTGAGTACAATAGAAGTCTGATTAAGATATGACTTTGCAATCAATTTTTTAAGTTGTAAAGAGACTTTATGGACACCCTGTACTTTATTACACATATATAGAATATTATTAGAATGANGTTTATTACGTACAACACCTCAGTGCAGGGTATTTACATTTATTCAAGTGTTGTGCAAATCATGGCTTCTAAAAAACAGAAAGGTGATTTCAATTGAAACAATGCAAAAAATCATCAGAAGGAGTGAAAGTTGACAAAAACTTCCTTGTCGAATGGGGAGAGGTTCAAGAGTTTACCAACACTCATTATCCAAACAGAGCTGAGGCCAACGGTATCAATGATCTCTACAATGACACCCTTGCCCGTCATTTCCAATAGGTGTTGAAGAAGAGAGAGAAACAGACCATCTTGGACATGTTTTTCAAGAAGCCAGCAGGAAAAAAACAAAGGATGGAACAAGAGGAGTTGACCCTGCAAGCTCCGGTAGTCTCTCCTGAATTTGACTCCGATTAAAAAACAATAAAAAAAAAAAGACCCGCTGCAATGTATAAAAAGTCTGTATCTGTATGATGTGTGAAGAAAGTGTTCCTCCACCTCCTCCTCACAACATTCGACTACCCGGCATAATTGGTGACTGCTCCATTTTCATTTTTTTGTTATAGTACAGTACGGTTATTTTATGCTGAGGAATGAATTATATGTTTTAACGTGTATTTCTATGGGAAAATGCGTTTCGTATAACGGACTTTTCACTTAATGGATGTGCACCTGGAACAGATTAAGTATGTTATACGAGGCACCACTGTATGTTGATTTTAAGAGGTAAGAGTTTAATGCAGAATGATGATATTTGAATTTTCTTGCCAGTGTTACTAAATCTATTCAGAATTACACAACTTTTCCAGTAAGAAAATTTCTTTATTAAAATGAATGCTTTTGGCCTCTTTCAGGATCTTTCTTCAGTTTTAACTGTTACAAACTGAACATCTGCTAAGAATCTCAGTAAACATCTAATTTGTAGTAGTTAAAACATAAAGCAGGCCTCTGAAAGAGGCTGAAAATGTTTGTTTTAATAAAGAAATTTTCTTGCTGGAAGAATGAGAAAGGTATTTTGTAATTCTGTGATGGTTCCAGCTTCAGAAGAGTTGTTATTAATCCACTCTTTGCAAGTAAACAATTTGTTTGGTTACTATATATAATAAAACATCTGCAGCAAATTAAATATGTCATAAGTGTAATTTATATAGTTACTTGTTAGTAAATTATTAAAAAGTCTCATAACTGACACTAATTCAATTTTACATCTTTGCTTTTCAGTAGCTAACTCTATAGTGAGATACTGTTATTATTATAAAAGATCTAAGCTCAAATCTTTGATTTTTTAATAGGAAATTTGAATTGGAATATGATTTTCCATTCTTTACTCATGCATTCATGAGCAAACAATGGATATAGTGGAGATATAGTGAAAAATGGATATAGTGAATAGTGGGTCAGGCTATCTTAGTAGATAAAATGAATAGACTGTCTCTTGTGCTTCTACTTCATAGAAAATTTCAATCTAATCTAAACAATGTAAAAGAAAATGTTCATTGTATCAGAAAATTTCATAATTACAGTAGAGCATCATTTATCCAAATCAATTGGGGACTGGAGTTGATTATGTACGAAAAATTATATTAACCTATCCCATGTTGAAATTTTTCTCCATTGTGTGTCACTTTGCACTGAATTTTTGCCAATGTTAAGCCTAACATAAATTTTTATAATAATAATCATGGCTATTGTATCGTTAAAAATTATTTCTTTATTTTGTACAAACAAAATAAATATATTGAAAAACATAAAAACATAAAAATTATACTTTAGNTTCACTTATAAATTTAAACAAGTGCAAAACACGGAACAGGTTAACCAACAAGAATTTGGAAAATCTGCTGGTTGTTTCAACATCTGCCATTACGCCAGACATCAAGAAGATTGCCGCCAGCATCCAATCTCAGCCATTGCATTAATCATTTGGAGGTCCGGCCCCCAGTCAGTAAACTTAATCCTAATTTGGCCCTTCTTCAAAAAAGGTTGTGCATCCCTGTGTTCACCTTTAACATCTAGAATGATTCTAGGAGATGGATGATAGCTAAAGTGTATTTATTTGTTACATTTTTCCATCAAATTTTTCTACTAATGGTTACATATGTATGGGAATATACATCTTTTCTCTCAAATGCTTTATAATGATAATATATGGAGGAAATCTTTTATTTTTTTATAATGGTACATTATATTTTAGTTTTAGATTTTAAATTTCTGATATTATAAGTTGAATTTAACTTTTTCTATATTTTATTGAAATTAATGAAGATTGTACATGTTAAATTAATATGAAATCTGTGCATATGTATAAGAAATTCAAAATTAATCTAGTTATAAATTAACTTTGATAAAATTTTTATAGTTTAAATCGAATATCTCAACTAATTAATGCAGGATTGAGCGTGAATGTTAAAGATTCTCCAAATAGTGGAAATACACCATTACATTGGGCAGCTTGTTTTGGTAATAAAGAAACAATCGAATTACTTATCAGTAAGTACTGAAGTTTTGAAATATTTAGAATAAAATTATGGGTGTGTCTAGCTGACAAGCAGCTAAACAAGCCAATATACTTTGGTGGTTCTGAATAGGGGGCATGAAACATTTCAGGCTTCCCAGTCTTTCAAAGAGAAAATGTGAAAGATTGGGGAACCACAGAAATTACCAGGATTACAGGTTTTTGAAGTTCCAATTTGGTGAATTGGATTTCAGTAGAGTCACTTGTGTGATATTAAAAGCTCAAAATGGATAAGATATCGAGAACAAGACATCTTCAGTTATATTTAACAAATTTCTAGCCGAATATACAAAATGTTGTCTCTCTTCATCAGCTGCAAGTCTCCATTAAGTCTTAATTCAATACTAAGATTATTATATTTTAAACTTTTATATTATTAAACATTTATCTATTTTAAAATTAAATTTATTTTTATAACACACAATACATTTTTTCACAAAACTTGGAAAATATTATCACTTTTTTTCATAATTTATACACACTAAGTTTTTGGATTTTTTTTGTTTTAAATTTTATAAACTTCAAATTTTTTAAAATTTTAAATGAAGGAATTTCCTCAAGAAAACAATATTTATTGATTTGAAAGTAAATGTTTTCAGTTCTGTTATCTTCTAGTTCTAGTTATCATTTCAGAGTTAATAATCTAATCCTTGCTTTACCACTAAGTAAAAAATGACGGAGAACCACTAATATAACTCTTTTATATGAAAGGGACTGTGTTATTGGCTTAGCTGCTTATCACCTAGATGCATCCTATAATTCTGTTATAATCCCCTTATTGTTTCTAAAATTTATGATTTGATTTTAAAAATATAAGCTTAATTCTATTCTAATGTTTAACCAAGTTACTTGGGTGCACTGATATTTATCATTATTAATAATAAAACTGTATAGTGATCTGTTCAAATATTCTGCATAGCAATCAATATGTACAAATCATGTTAGTTTATATATAAGCAGGCTAACACACAACTCTGGCATGGTATATATGTATACACACCATGCGGGGTAATGCGTGCTGGCTGAGTGCCATAGGTGAGTGTTTACAGACATTGAATGCATCCTTGGTGGCACCATATGTAACCAAGGATGGTTCTCATGTTTAAATATATCAGGAAGAGGAGATCGGACTGGAGCCTTGGGTTGCGTAACTGGCAACACATCCGCTCCATAAGCGGCATTTGGGAGTTTGAGTACCACTTTGGACTGCTTCTTTTCTTCTAGACTTTTCTAAATTATTTAATTCAATTATAATTATTAAATCTAATAAGAGATGGCACCTAACACTGCCCTCTAGTAACAAATTAGTTAGTAATTAATTGAAAATAATCGTGATATAAGCCCGATATAAATAAATAAATAAGTTTATTGATTTAGCAAATTGCTTTTACAAGGGGATAAATATAATAGCCCAATATAATCCAGTAGTTGTTGGCTTATTACTATCTGTTTATATTAATAGAATTTTTTAATTCCTAATTTTTAACAAAAAGATGTCAAGAACAATTTTTTGATATCTTTATGTTAATCCTATGAATTCAATTCAACAACAACACTTTTTTCGTGGCATCATTTGTATGTAACTAGTCATGATGACGCAAAACTTAATATTTCTGAAAGGCATCTTGTTTTGTGTGATGTGCTATTTATAGTAAAATGTGGCCAATGTAACACAAGTACAGAAATTGCAGCTTAAATCTTTTTTTGTATTGCACAGTGTTTTTGAAGTATCTAATACGTTATTATAGCCTTAAAGTCTAGCATGTAGCTATTTGACTATTAGAAAATTAGGCTCTAGCTGCTTGTCTATATCTTTGTATATCTTCAATCGATAAATAGATTATATAACTAAAAACTGCTGTCTGTTTGTAGCAAAACTTGTAATTATCAAATTGCTAACTGCCAAATTAACTTTTGGGTTATAATATGCTAATTAATGCAATGAACAAAATAATTTGGACTGAAAGTAGTAGTTAGATAGCAATTTGATGATTTTATGTTTGGATGTTCTTATACAGAAAATTGTACTTAAAAAAAACAAGCATTTATATTGAATAACTGTTTTTCATTAAAAAAATATTAAAATTATAGAAAATATATTCAGCTTAATTTTTACATTATTAATACTATATTTTGTAGATGATAATTTTTCTTTTTAATTTTTTATAAAGATCATGGAGCAGATGTCAATATAGTTAATTCAGCTGGAACTACTCCATTACATGATGCTGTGGAAAGAGGAGAATTACAGATTGTAGAAAAATTAATAAAAAGTGGAGGAAATTTATTTGTCAAAGCAACAAAAGGGTAAGATTAAAAGTAGTATTTTAAACTTAAAGTAATAAACAATTGCTTCATTAATAAATTACAAAGAAGCAACCTTTGAGCAGTTAAAATTTTATAATTTGCCGGTCACTTTACCTAGCCTTGGAAGTTTTAATTGTTTTAATTTTCTCATATTATTTAATTATATATGTATTTTTGTAAATGCAATGTTGTGTGTTTCATATTAATTTGATTTTTGGAACCCCAAGGATGGCCATTTACATGGCCAAAAATGTTTATTTGAATATAAAGTTTTAACTGCTCAAAGGATGCCTCTTTGTAACTAGTGTTTTCAGTTTAAAAATAATTCTTGTCTGTCTGCCTGTCCTTTGTTAACCTCAAGAATAGAGTTAGATGGAAACTGAGACCAGACATGGAAAGCTTAGGAGTCTCTGGTCCCTAAGCTTTCCATATTTGGTCTCAATTTGCATCTGAAAAGTGCCAAAAAGTTACTGTGCACTAAGAAATTTGTAATGACATTAAAGTTATATGTACAGCATTGCATAGAAGTCTGTAACTTGTACATCCTATGTTTCCACTTTCTGGTAGATGGCATCCCGCTTGCACACAGATATTTTGGTTTTTGAACTACAGTTTTTGGAAGATTTCTTTGCTGATTGCATAATCTCTCATAGAATCTGGCCTGCTAGGTCTCTGGGCTTCACTCCCCCCCAGGTTTTTAGGCCTCTGGGAGAAATTTGCAGCAATTGCTATAGGAGAAACTGCAATATTGTATATAAAACTTCACTTTTATTAAAATTTTACTTAAATATTTTCCACTGCAAAGTAACGTTTTGAACACCCTGTAGACATTATCTTGATGTTTTACAAAACATTTATAAGTGATCAGAATTATTAAATTAATTCTAACTGTTAAAATGATTACACTATAATAGTTCTGTCTACTCCTATTACTAAATTATTTAAAAATTTAATTCAATTAAAGTATCCTAATAAAAATATCTTATAATTTGTAGGTGTTTGGTTAATCAATGCATGTGTTGGTCTACAGTTGATTATTACATACAGTATAATGTCCGAATAGCGTTAATTGCTGGGACTGAGAAGTTTGTCCGCTATTCTGAGGTACATGTTGGTGACCATATTTTATTTTAACCCAGTCATTATAAAGTAAAGAATATGATGGATTACAAAAATATCAGATTTGCATTAGGAATGTGAAAATACAGAAAAGTATACATAGCGCATATATAATTAAAATATATATATTGTATATTATTTATTTCTTCAGCTGTAAAAATCATATTTTAATTGAATTCTAAATATCACACAGATTGTGTAGGATACTTTAATTAAATGGAACATAAAAATTACGACAATATATAAACAATCCGAGCAGAAGTAATTAAAAAGAAAAATGAAACTGTTATTACGAATAGAAGGGTAGACAAAGGTTTGTTTAGGCAATGAATGTCGAGTTATTTGCTAGCCACTTCCAGGGATAAGAAATGTATTTGGTATTCTTTCATTTATAACATCATTTATGATCTTAGTAACTAATAAAATTGATACAGTGATTTGTCTGCTTTGTAGTTATCAAGTAGGTGTAATTTTTTGAACATTTTTGCTTTTTTCAATAAATGATTTATTAAAAATTACTTTAGCCACCACAAAGCTGTTAAGATCATAAATTATGTCATAAATGTGAGAAAATCAAATATCTTTCTACACTTTAACCCAGTGTTTCCCAACCTTTTTTGTGCTATACCCCACCTAAGCCTTTCTAAAATTCTTATGCTCCCCTAACAAATACAGCAGCTATACGGTTAATTTAAACTCTGGACGAGTCCATTTTAGAATTGTCCCCCTGTGGGCATGGGCTCCACGTTGGAAAACACTGCTTTAACCTGTCCCATGTTATTCCCAACATATCTTTGGGTTGTTTCAACTGACCTTGACCAGTTGACCTGAGTTATCTCGTTTCAGCATTGAAACGTTTTTGAAACTAGATGTCACTAGTTGTTATAATTTTTATATTAAAACTAACTTTCAAAATATAATTTTTTTGCTTATTACATTTATTAATATATCTATTTTGTTTGTGAAAAATAAAAAAAATAATTTTGGACGATACAATAGCCAATTATTTTTTCAAAAATGTGTAATTTTTGTTAGGCTTTACATCGATGAAAATTCAACATGGCGTCACATGCAACGAAGAAAACTTTGAACATCAGATATATTAAATTGCCTTTGTAGCATGATCTTTGAACTTCCACAATAATAAACACTGTTGTCTTAACCTTAGAGCTTGCTATGCAGAAAAGTTTATAGTTTCTTGTTACCGTAAACTTAATTCTAACAATAAGACAAAAGTTTAATAACATTAATATATATGATGAGAAATGTTAATTAACAACTTAACCAGATTAGTGTTTTCTAACAGATAGAGAGTATTGTTTGGCATTTTACAATCTGATCTCCTTCCCATTCCTATTTTAAGCCAGTCTTTATTTGATGCCTACGGTCAAAATGTTTCCTCTGAAAGAGTATTTGAACTGTTTCTTTGTTTTAAAGTATTTTATATGTAATTAATTCTTTTAGAACATTGAAGGCAGGACATTGCATTTTTGTAAGGTTGGTTATGGATGATGATGTTATTTAGAGTGTCTGTTATTTAGAAGTAAATATAATAGATGTCCTATTTGAAGGGTTTGGGGAATATAAAAATGTCCATTAAGTAGAGGTGTACGCTATTTGGGAGTGTTCGTTAATGGAGGATTACCTATTACTTATGTGAGAGTAGCCAAGGGTATACGTAAATTACCTATATCACTTACTGGCGCACGATCGTGTGATCGGCTCTCTAAACTTTTTATAGGAGGGCGGTAATATTTAGGAAAAGGGGATTCAAGATTGTGAAGTCTTTATCCCAAATTGTCAGGGTCCCGACACCAGTTAATCAATCTTATAACATGCGGATTAACACGCGTGAAGTATACTTATTACGATTCATAGTAGGNTTATATGTATAGATTAGTATTATTAGAATATATTATCAGTATATCTGAAGTACAGAGCTCCCGTTGGGATTAGGCTTGCTCCCTTGTTTATTACATACAACACCTCAGTGCAGGGTATTTACATTTATTCAAGTGTTGTGCAAATCATGGCTTCTAAAAAACAGAAAGGTGATTTCAATTGAAACAATGCAAAAAATCATCAGAAGGAGTGAAAGTTGACAAAAACTTCCTTGTCGAATGGGGAGAGGTTCAAGAGTTTACCAACACTCATTATCCAAACAGAGCTGAGGCCAACGGTATCAATGATCTCTACAATGACACCCTTGCCCGTCATTTCCAATAGGTGTTGAAGAAGAGAGAGAAACAGACCATCTTGGACATGTTTTTCAAGAAGCCAGCAGGAAAAAAACAAAGGATGGAACAAGAGGAGTTGACCCTGCAAGCTCCGGTAGTCTCTCCTGAATTTGACTCCGATTAAAAAACAATAAAAAAAAAAGACCCGCTGCAATGTATAAAAAGTCTGTATCTGTATGATGTGTGAAGAAAGTGTTCCTCCACCTCCTCCTCACAACATTCGACTACCCGGCATAATTGGTGACTGCTCCATTTTCATTTTTTTGTTATAGTACAGTACGGTTATTTTATGCTGAGGAATGAATTATATGTTTTAACGTGTATTTCTATGGGAAAATGCGTTTCGTATAACGGACTTTTCACTTAATGGATGTGCACCTGGAACAGATTAAGTATGTTATACGAGGCACCACTGTATGTTGATTTTAAGAGGTAAGAGTTTAATGCAGAATGATGATATTTGAATTTTCTTGCCAGTGTTACTAAATCTATTCAGAATTACACAACTTTTCCAGTAAGAAAATTTCTTTATTAAAATGAATGCTTTTGGCCTCTTTCAGGATCTTTCTTCAGTTTTAACTGTTACAAACTGAACATCTGCTAAGAATCTCAGTAAACATCTAATTTGTAGTAGTTAAAACATAAAGCAGGCCTCTGAAAGAGGCTGAAAATGTTTGTTTTAATAAAGAAATCTTCTTGCTGGAAGAATGAGAAAGGTATTTTGTAATTCTGTGATGGTTCCAGCTTCAGAAGAGTTGTTATTAATCCACTCTTTGCAAGTAAACAATTTGTTTGGTTACTATATATAATAAAACATCTGCAGCAAATTAAATATGTCATAAGTGTAATTTATATAGTTACTTGTTAGTAAATTATTAAAAAGTCTCATAACTGACACTAATTCAATTTTACATCTTTGCTTTTCAGTAGCTAACTCTATAGTGAGATACTGTTATTATTATAAAAGATCTAAGCTCAAATCTTTGATTTTTTAATAGGAAATTTGAATTGGAATATGATTTTCCATTCTTTACTCATGCATTCATGAGCAAACAATGGATATAGTGGAGATATAGTGAAAAATGGATATAGTGAATAGTGGGTCAGGCTATCTTAGTAGATAAAATGAATAGACTGTCTCTTGTGCTTCTACTTCATAGAAAATTTCAATCTAATCTAAACAATGTAAAAGAAAATGTTCATTGTATCAGAAAATTTCATAATTACAGTAGAGCATCATTTATCCAAATCAATTGGGGACTGGAGTTGATTATGTACGAAAAATTATATTAACCTATCCCATGTTGAAATTTTTCTCCATTGTGTGTCACTTTGCACTGAATTTTTGCCAATGTTAAGCCTAACATAAATTTTTATAATAATAATCATGGCTATTGTATCGTTAAAAATTATTTCTTTATTTTGTACAAACAAAATAAATATATTGAAAAACATAAAAACATAAAAATTATACTTTAGAAGTTAATGTAGTATCAAGAACATTTGATTCAGCACGACACACATCCAGACACACAGTCCTCAGAAAAACACCACACAAAAGTGCCAGTGCTGCCAGCTAAAACACACCAACAAAAAAATATTGGAGTAGCCCAGGACATAGCAAAAGGTTGCAGCACCACAGCACTAGCGGAAATTTAAATTTTCCGACTGGAACGTTTTCGATTGACCGGCTTTCGGATAAACGACACTCTGTTGTATTTGCCTCTTGTAAATCAATGCTTTCATTAGTTTGTTTTATAATTGTTTTGTTTTAGTAAAATAAAATAATAATAATTTTTATTTTTTAATTTAAATTGTATTACAAGTTAATATATTTATATAGATACATTAAATTTATTTTGAAGGAAATAATTTGCAACAAAGGAGCAATTCAATGGATTCTCTCTCAAGCGGCAATGACATTCTTTCTCCCTCAGTCAGCCGCCTGTCAATTCTTTCATCTGATTCACCATTAAAACATGAATTAGGAGAACCTCCCTATTCTTATGTAAGGAAAATTTTAACTATTACTTATTAAATTTAAATTTATTGTTTAGAACTTTGTAGTAAGAGAGTTTTATTTTGAATTTAATATATTTTAATTATTTTAAGTCTAGCGATCATTAATGCTTAGTCAAAGGAAACAGTTTACATCCTAAATAACTTTTCGCATATTCGAGTGAATATAATAAATGGAATTTTTCAGAAAGATTAATATGTCGAATCAACACTTTAAAAGCAATTAATTTATATTTATTTGGATTGTGGAAGAATAAACATAAATTTACTTGATTTTCTAGAAAAAATTGTTTGGAGATTTGCTATTTTTGTATTGTATGGTGTAAGAACTCTGCTTGTTCTGTCATCCCGAGGCTTTTGTGTATTTGTAGAAACATCGTAGAAAATGCTACTAAAGAAAACAGTCAAATTTAAATTGCAACCCATAATGAACCATGTCATTATATTCAAAGTAGGTTGCATATTTTAAAAGATTTTCAAACAAATAATAGAGTTACTGAATTTTTTTCTATGTTATTTTAAGATAGAAATGAGTTCTTTAAAAAATTGCATCTTGTCTAATATGTTCACCATTTCTTAATAATCCCACTGTATCATAATGTGGATTTTTTTTACAGACTTACTTTACCAAAGATAGAACTTAATTACCAGTAATTTTCATCCATTTATTAAACTATTTTTTTTTCCAAAATGCATTTTAGGCTTTATGTCCCCTCTTCAGTTGGAATATACTTTATATTATACACAAAACTTGTAATAAAAAGTGTACAGTACTTCAACTGAAGAGATTTTGGTGAAAAAATTATTAAATAAATGGATGAAAGTTACTGGTAATTAATTTCTATCTTTGCTATAATAAGTCTGTAAAAAGTTCACATTATCCTGTAGTGAAATTATTAAGAAACAGAAATTAGTTCATTGAATAATCTGGACTATAAGTGGAATCATAAAATTCCAAATCTATACTAATATTATAAAAGATAATGTTTGTAAGTTTGTTTGCAGCAGGTAATCTCCGAAACTACTCATCTGATTTCAAAAATTCTTTCATCAATATTTAGAATAGAACCTCAGGGTGGACATAGGCTGTATATTATTCCATTAAACATTCATATAAATTAAAATATATAATCTAGGTTAAGGCTTTTATGTCCAACAGATGGCGCTACGAGTATGACACCCTAAGTTTACTTTTCTGTGAGGCATTATGCTTTTCTGTGAAAATAACTAAAGCAGATCATCTTCTATCTATCTATATAAATAAAAATGTAATGTTTGTTTGTTCCTACCAATTCCTTTGAAATTTTGACACAACGCTGCATTGTAATATGCACATGTTTTTATATAATATACATGTCGAAATCCCCCCCCCAGGAGATGGACAGGATTAAGTCTTACTATAAAGAACTCTGCCTCTATTTATACTATTTTAGATGCAGTTTTTTGCGTTTTTGATTGCGTTTTTATAGGGTACGTCAACAGAATACACACTACAAAGGGATTTTTCGATATTCCCCCCCCACAGGGGAGAAGGNTAGTTGTTATAATTTTTATATTAAAACTAACTTTCAAAATATAATTTTTTTGCTTATTACATTTATTAATATATCTATTTTGTTTGTGAAAAATAAAAAAAATAATTTTGGACGATACAATAGCCAATTATTTTTTCAAAAATGTGTAATTTTTGTTAGGCTTTACATCGATGAAAATTCAACATGGCGTCACATGCAACGAAGAAAACTTTGAACATCAGATATATTAAATTGCCTTTGTAGCATGATCTTTGAACTTCCACAATAATAAACACTGTTGTCTTAACCTTAGAGCTTGCTATGCAGAAAAGTTTATAGTTTCTTGTTACCGTAAACTTAATTCTAACAATAAGACAAAAGTTTAATAACATTAATATATATGATGAGAAATGTTAATTAACAACTTAACCAGATTAGTGTTTTCTAACAGATAGAGAGTATTGTTTGGCATTTTACAATCTGATCTCCTTCCCATTCCTATTTTAAGCCAGTCTTTATTTGATGCCTACGGTCAAAATGTTTCCTCTGAAAGAGTATTTGAACTGTTTCTTTGTTTTAAAGTATTTTATATGTAATTAATTCTTTTAGAACATTGAAGGCAGGACATTGCATTTTTGTAAGGTTGGTTATGGATGATGATGTTATTTAGAGTGTCTGTTATTTAGAAGTAAATATAATAGATGTCCTATTTGAAGGGTTTGGGGAATATAAAAATGTCCATTAAGTAGAGGTGTACGCTATTTGGGAGTGTTCGTTAATGGAGGATTACCTATTACTTATGTGAGAGTAGCCAAGGGTATACGTAAATTACCTATATCACTTACTGGCGCACGATCGTGAGATCGGCTCTCGAAACTTTTTATAGGAGGGCGGTAATATTTAGGAAAAGGGGATTCAAGATTGTGAAGTCTTTATCCCAAATTGTCAGGGTCCCGACACCAGTTAATCAATCTTATAACACGCGGATTAACACGCGTGAAGTATACTTATTACGATTCATAGTAGGAGACATTTAATAAAAAAACGAAATAATAAATTTAATAAAACAAGAAAATAAATCATACAAAAATCTCAATGAACGAGAGATAGAAATACCACAAATAACATACAAATCGAGAGGTAGCTATACTTATCTTCTACACTATTCGCGATCGAGAGAGAGAGCTCACAAAAATCGTTATAAAACATACGACCTGTTTCAGTTGTCGTTCGTCTTCTTCTCTGTATGCAAGGGACACTTTGGAGATAAAGTTCATTTACTTCTTCGTATGGGAGATCACTATGTGCACAAATATAAAGGTATCACTTCTATGTGCAGACTCTAGACTTATTCTGTATGTGACTCGTCTAAGGACGTTGGTCATCAGGAGGGAAACGTATGTGGAGTTTGGACGCTTTCGGATCTGTCGCTGAACTCCTCGAATTCTGACAAGTTCCCTGTATATCTTCGGAATACCGACCAATCATCGGCCAGTAACTCTTTCGTGAGAACGGATGAAAGGGGGATGAATGAGGGGTAACCATTTCCCATCTGAGCAGGATTTTAACCAGATAAGGGAAAGTCAGAGGATGTTCTCTTCTGTGAAAGGAAGTA